AAAACAGAAACACAAGGACAAGGAAGCAATGGAAACACCGAGCTACCAGAAAACAAAAGATAAAATGGCTATAAGAAGACCTCATATTTCAATAATCAACATAAATGTAAATGGACTGAACTCACAAATAAAAAGGCACAGAGTTGCAGAATGAATCAAAAAACAAAACCCAACCATACGCTGCCTCCAGGAGACACATCTCAGCTCCAAAGACAAATATAGACTCAAAGTGAAAGGGTAGAAAATGGTATTTCAAGCAAGTGGCATTCACAGAAAAGCGGGAGAGGCGATACAAATGTCACACGAAATAGACTTCAAAATAAAAAAGTAAAGAAAGAAACTGAGGGACACTTCATAATGATAAAGGGAATCATAACACTTATTAATATCTTTGCCCCCAACCAGGGATCCCCAAAATATGTAAAGCAATTACTAAAAGAACTAAAGAGAGAAACAGACCAAAACACTATCGCAGTAGAGGACCTAAATACCCCACTGTTGGATATGGACAGATCATCTAAACAGAAAATCATTAAGGAAATAACATCCTTAAATGACACATTTGACCAACTGGATATTACTAACATATAAAGAGCCTTCCATCCTAAAACATTTGCTTATACATTCTTCTCTCGTGCACGTGGAGCATTCTCAAGAATCGACCACATACTGGGACACAGAGGTAGCCTCAACAAATGTAAGAGAGTAGAAATCATATCAACCATATTCTGTGATAATAATGCTTTTTACTAGAAATCAACTGCAGAAAGAAGAACAACAAATACATGGAAATTAAACAACATGCTACTGAAGAATAACAGGGTCAGAGAAGAAATAAAAAGAGAGATCAACAGATACATAGAAATGAATGATAATGATAGTATAACATATCAAAACATTTGGGACATGGCAAAAGCATTCATAAAACGAAAGTTCATATCATTATAGGCCTAACTCAAAAAACAAGAATGAGCCCAAATAAACAACATCATGCTTCATCTTAAAAAAAAAAAAGAAAAAAAAACTGTAAAAGGAAGAAAAAATGAAGCCTAAAGTCAGCAGAAGGAAAGAAATAATCAAAATTAGAACAGAAATAAATGAAATTG